TGTCATCTTAACGGCATTACGCATATCACGTCACCTGCCTACCACCCGGCAAGTAATGGACAAGCTGAAAGCTACGTGAAGGTAATAAAAAGGGGTATTAAGTCTAGTTTGTTGAGCAGCAATAATGTTAGAGAATGTAATTTAAATCTCTTAAAGTACATTTTCGACTACCGCAATTCGGTCCATTCCACGACGGGTTTATCTCCCGCGCAAATAGTTTTTGGTCGTAAATTGAGATCGCGGTTAGATATATTAAAGCCAGCACCATCGCCGCCCCTGTCTTCCTCACTCGCTAAAACAGTCCGATCAAAACAGTGTTCACAGGTTAAGTCGCATGGTGGGAAAGAAAAAATGTTTTTACCCGGACAATATGTTTTATATAAAAAATATTCGAATAAAAATAAGTTCAATTGGTGTAAAGGCGTAATTATACAAAAACTTGGTAAAATCATATACTTAATACGAGACTCCTTGTTAAATACTGTTGTAAAAAAACATGTAAATCAAATAATTTTATATAAAGGCACTATTAATGCAAGTAGACCTTGGGAGCTAGATATTCTCAGCCCTGATACCCCAGGTAGTTCAGTATCGACACCGGCGTCATGCGTACCTATATTACCGCCAGATTTGCAATGTCATGACAAAGTTCGCGAGCTGGGAGAGGGGGATGGACACGAGGACAGAATATTAACACCTATGCCTGCAGCTGAGACTTCTAATGAGAACTTGACGAATTCTAATGACTCTTGCCGCCAATCACGATCACCCTCACATATAACAGTAACGCAAGGAGTTCGGCGTCCAAAGTCGTCGGATGATGAAGAAGAGGTATCACGGGCACAAGAGTATCAAGCGCCATTAAAACGAAATCGCCCTAAGGTTGACTATAAAAAGTTTTTTTAGTATGTTTTAAATATATTTAATATGTTAGTTTTTTTATATAAGGTATTACATATTATAAAACCCTCACTATAGGGGGAGGAATGTTGTGTATTATACCTGTGCACGGCTGCGTCCGCACCCAATAATAATGTATGCAATTAAAGCAGTACATCGACAGCCGTTGAGTGTTTAACTAGTCCCCTGCGCTCCGTATCCGCGAACATAACAGGTGCTAAGTCGGTAAGGCTGATTTCATAGTCACGCGTTTGAACAGCGCCGTCCAGACGCACACGCTTGCAAATGCACTAGATAGTAGTCGATAATATTCACGCTGTTGTATGTATGTCGCGCCCTGTTGAAAATTCGTTAAAACCGTGGTTACGCTCGCTGTTCGACGGCATGTCTAGCGGTGTGACTGAACCATGATAAATCCTCTACATTTAGGTACTAGGTATCTTACCGTGCCGTATATATGCTAATGACAACATCTAAATGCTAACAGCCATTATATACATACATTTTTATTTTTACATGAATACACAAACATTATCTCTTATTTCGAAACCAATCCTAAGAAAGCAGGTTTATTAACTAGATTCTATGCATTTATACGTTGCACTTACATACACTTAGGCTTTAGAACAAAAATAGCATACCTAATTATCTAGATAGGTACTAAAAATAGCTAAATGTTTTAGGACATCATTTTTCAGTTTGTAAAAAATCACTCGGAGCTATGAAAAACCGTAATATTCGTGGTTCGATTATAACCTCAAAATCTGATACTTTATTTGAAATATATCTTTTATGCAGCTAGTCCGCTATAAAAATAAGATCATATAGGAATTTACTAATGATCGACAATAAAACACACAATTTTCCGATGCTCTTGGTTCCAGGGCGAACAATGTATGGGAGCAGAGCAATGTCCTTTCCCAACTTTAATTTTCGGTGACTAGTCTCCACTGCGTTATTCCATATGGATAACGCAGCGCCGACTTTACCGTCAATCCTGCTGCCGTCGGTGTAAATTTTAAGGCCTTTGTTGTCTTGTTGGTCGATTTGTGCACCGTCCTCCAGACATGTGAATTGGAGGCCATGCTGATCCGCGGGGTGTGGCGTCCTACCAAACTCTACTTTTTTCTCCATTTCTCTGTCCCCCACCACTCGCCGGGAGTAACCTTTCTTTACTTCATAAAACAAGGCTGCTTCCCGGACCCTCAGGTCCAAGGGAAGCAGCCCGGCGAGTAGTAGGGCCGAGTGCAGAGATACAGTTTTATATGATTTAATTATTTTCTGTACGAACCCGCGTTGTACCGCACCGAACTGTTTTTTGATAAGCTTTTTATTTGTCGCCGGCGACCACGCGCTTGCCGCATACATAATGATTGGCTCCACTACTGCGATGTAGATGGTCCTAATAATCTCGGAGTTTAGGCCCCAATGAACCTTTGCGGCTCTACACAGCTGACGATATATATTTTGAGCCTTGCAGCACACATTCTTCACGTGCGTGTTGAAGGTCAGCTTGTCATCGACTGTGAGGCCGAGTATTTTTATTTCTTTTGATATAGCAATGCTTTCCCCACCCATATTCAAAAGTGGCGAGTCAAATTTGATCTTCTTTGTAATAACCATTGCTTTGGTTTTCTGAGGTGCAAATGTTAGTTTGTTTTTGACTCCCCACCTCTGAATATGTGCGAGGGCTGCATTGACTTTCTCCTGCAATTCCAAACCCTTGTCTCCGGAGAATATTAGGACCACGTCGTCTGCGAAAGCCTGGCAGTACTCCCCTCTATCCGTTAGCTGTTTCAGGAGTGGATCCAACAGAAGATTCCAAAAAAGTGGACCGCCTATCGAGCCCTGCACGCACCCCTTCGTGGTCGTTTTGCCCCATTCCGCCCCTGAATATTTAATGCTTACAGATCTATCGTTCAGGTAGCTGTCCACTAATCGTCTGATGTTTATGGGGCATCCGGATCTTGCAAGTGCACATCGTACAGCTGGCCACCAGGCGTTATCGAAGGCTCCCTCTATGTCAAGTGATACTAATACAATCAATTTTTTATCATTGATGTTAGCTTTTATAAGCTGTATCATGTCATAGAGGGAGTCCTCGGTGCTGCGCTGTGGCATAAAGCCATATTGCTTTTTGCTTAATTTGGGTACGATGTGCCACTTGATTCTCCGCACCATCATTTTCTCTAGGACTTTCCCTAGAACAGGCAGTAGCCCAATCGGCCTGTAAGACTTGGGGTGCGTGTAGTCCTCTTTACCAGGCTTACGCAACACTACTACTTTCGCCTCCTTCCATTTGTTAGGGAAATGAGCCAGCTCCAGACACTTATTGGCTAGTGCCAAAAACAGTGGCGGGTCCAGGGCAATGGCCGCTGCGCAGATATCGGCTGTGAGACCATCATTCCCTGGAGCTTTTTTGGGATTAAAGCTGGACGCGGCCCACATAAGCTCCTCTACCGTAAAAGGTGGGTCACTTGAGTCATCAAGTGACCCTACGTTCACTGATTCAGCTTCCTTTCTGATAAGCCTGTGTTCCGCGTCATCCTCCTGGGTGTTGTCGTCCGGGTAGAAGGTCTCCGCCAAGAATCTTGCTGATTCTGCGTTGTCCAGAGTCTTCCCCTCTCTTGCAAGAGGGATATCTTCGTGTCTCTGAGTTGTGCGGCCTATTACCCTGTAAATCCCGTCCCACATAGATTCGCTATCTTGTTTGCTGCAGAAATCCTTCCAGCTGGCGGTCTGTGCGTTCTTTACTTGTTGTTGGTATTCCTCTTTTGTTTTGATATACTGCTCGACGACCCATTCTCGGCGTACTGGTGCTGCGCACGATATTCTGCGTTTCATCCTGGAGACTTCCTTTTTCTTCTGAGTCAGCTCTTCGGTCCACCAAGGCAATCCCATTCGTTTGGTGTTTTTAATTTTGGGCATACTACTTTCGCAAACTTCCACTATTGATTCTACATATTCTACTATTGTCATTTCAAGTTTTTCGCTATTTTCTATTTTATTTATTTGTATATTATTTATTTGTTTTCTTTGCCAAACCTGGGTGAGTTTCTCACGAAACTCACTCCATTTTGTCTTTTTTGTATTAAATTTTCTGGTGGTTCTTTTTATGTCTATACTTATCGATTTTTCTAAATTTATCTCGAATAGGATTGCCCTGTGGTCCGAACTGGTGACTTCTTCTGAAAGTCTCCAGTTGTCTATCCTCCCGAGTAGGCTCGTCGAGCAGGTTGTCACATCCACACAGCTGGAGAATCTCTTCCCGCCTCTGATCGTGTCGAACGTGGGTTCTGTACCTCTGTTTAGTATGTGGAGCTCTAGTTGGTCTAATTTGGCAGCTATTTCCATTCCCCTCTTATCGGTCTCCCGGCTTCCCCACCAAGTACTCCAAGCGTTTATGTCCCCACTCTGGGCATGTTAGCAACACGTGGGTCGCCGTTTATTTCTCCCCCATGCATGCCCTGCACAGGGGACTATCTGTAACACTGTGTTTGTTAAAGGAGCTATGTCCTGTGAAAGCATTTGTTACTATTCTGATCTGTGGCTTGTTGAATCTCATTAGAACCTTGGTTAAAAAACTGTTTATTTCAGGCAGGGCTTGCCTAGCCTGTCTACCAGTCTACTAAGTCTTTCTAAAGCTGAGCATGTTGGTTAGTGAAGTTTTTATATACTAGTGAACAATCATTACCAAAAGTACTTTTTATTAGATTATAAATACTCTTTGGTACCGTATGGACTTCTCTAGTAAAACATAATTATATACTCTGTTTAAGAACACAAATAATTACGAATGCGTTCAATAATAAGATATTTAATAATGCGTTCTTTTAAAAATAAAGTAATGATATACATTTATTTAATTGACAATGTACTATATTTTGATAATAGTCTCATGTCGGTAACAATGGCGGGTCGTAATGTCGGGAAAAATACGCCCGCCGTCAGATTCGGTCGCGCTTCGTCCCGCCTCCAGAAAATGCAGTTTCATGTGTTGCGATGCGGCCCGACCCGGCCCGTTCAGTGGACGCCTAGCTTTATAAGCAGATTAACAAAAAAGAAGACAATGCCTTAACATGTTCATATTTTTCTTACAGAAATAATAAATCGCGAGATGGGTCTGACATTTCCCTGCGGTAAAACGACGCAGAACGATGTAATTTTCGAGCAGAAGTTCTACGGATCACTGCACGCCGTGTACCGGCTTAAGAAGCTGCACAACCTCAACAAGCACAGCGGATGCGTCAACTCGATAAATTTTCACCCGGAGGGTTAGATGTGTTTCTATAACAATTAAAACAAGTGAAAGTTTATAGTGCACGAGTGGTGTGCAAGCACAGGTACACTTTATTCCCTCACACTTAAAATCCGATGGAGGGTATCTATACGTGGTAGAGCCATGCTGCAGCTATATTTCTGGTATAGTTGTAACACGAATGGGTCAGCTCGACCGGGGAAGGACTACACTCTCACAGAATACCAGCGTAAAATAGCAGCTTAATGCTGCTGTGTTTTGTATGGTGAGTGTAGAGAACCGGAGATCCTTTTTACTGGTAACCGAGGCATTCGATCTTAGTCCTCACGGGTGACAAAGCATCTGCATTTTGATTCCTAATCGAGGATAAATGTATATGTCTATGGGCCACAGCAACCACTTACCATCAGGTGGACTGTGTGCTCGTTTGTCACCCTTATCCAATAAAAAAAAGTCCTGAGGGAGATCAGGCTCAGGACCAGCGGCATTACGTACTTTCTGAGACATGGGGTTCAAACACCGCCAGCTTCCTCGACTCCAGGCTACTAACTGATTTTTGGCCTGAATTAAAATTCTAATCCGGAACCACAACATCAACAGTCGCGCTTACGACCACTATGCCAAAGAAGAATTCAGTGCAAATTTTCCGCGTGAAGATACTTGCATATGTGTGATAAAACATTATGAAGACATGTGATATTCATAAAACACACATAGGAATAGCGAAGTAGACCGTCTACCTCACTAGTCTAGTGTTTGTTTTATGGATGATGATACTCCCTTTATGAAGAAGATAGAGCAGATTGGCTATGGTAAACATAAAGGTGTGTGTTCAGCCGTGGAATATATGAAATCTAATTTAAATTATTTTACTCTTCCCACCACAGGCCATCTTCTAGCATCGGGATCGGACGACACGAATGTGGTGGTGTGGGACTGGGCCCGCAACCGTGCGTTACAAACGATCAAGACGGGCCACAAGACCAATGTGTTCCAAAGCAAGTTCCTTCACCTGAATGCCCGGAGTCAGCTCAACATTGTCACTTGCGCTAGGGATGGCCAGGTAAGTTCTAATCAGAATGAGAAGTAAATATGGCTTTAGAACCAATATATAAATTATAGTTTACGTGTAAATAATTCTTACATGATAGAGACACGCTGCAACTACCATACCCATATTTTGTAATTACCAAGAAAAAAAGTAAGTGCTCACAGTGTCTGCCATTGATCACATTTAGGTAGAAAAACTAGTATTTTTTTAATTAATTATTTTAATAATTAATAAAAAAAAATCTAAAAAAATGATAATGATTATTAACTCGTTTATTATAGTAATCACGTATAATAGGAGAAGATATACTCTAATTCGATCCATTTTTAAATCGCTTGCTGTCTCGCTCACGCGCCGACCGGCATTCGTTTCGTGAGACGGAGGGAGATGGAATTTTTTATTTATTTATTTATTTTAAAACAGTGTACATGCTGGCTTACAGTATGCCCAAAACGTCATCATGCTAATTTACAAATTACACTTTTAAATAATAAGTAATTGATTAAGATACATGTCCAAATAAAAAAAATAAAATAAAAAATAGATGTCAAATAGATAAAAAATAGATGCCAAATAGAAGATTATACTATGTCAAATAGAGTAAACTAAAAATATCATTTTCAAATTAACTAAGCTAAGATTAAATTAATATATTACAATATGTCAAAATTGAATGTCAAAAATAGAAGGGCCTTATTACATAGTTGCCTAAAGCTATCAGCAAATAAGTCAGTCTCGTAATCATGTGCGAGCATATCTCCAATAAGCCGTATAGCGCGAGTAGTGCGCACCTGGTCCGCGCCGGGGGCCGCCACAGAAGACGCGGCCGCCGCCGCGGTGCCACCGTCCCCTCACCATCATAGCCCAGCCGCTTCGGAGCCAATAACCCCACTCTGCTTAATATCGTCGGGCTATCTATTTTATTATGGATGATTGCTAGGTAGAATGTTATCAATTGCATAGCCCGCCTAAGTTTGAAAGTGTCCAAACCCACCATACCAGTAACAAATAAGGACGGATATAGATAGGGGTAATAACCGTAATTCTGCTTATATAGCCATCGTGCAAATTTGCGCTGTATTCTCTCTATCATCAAAATATATTTCTCCTCATAGGGATTCCATACAATGGCACCGTATTCAAGCTTACTACGAACATATGCATTGTAAAGTACCAAAGCGACCCCTATTCCGTCGAACTGTGAAGAAGTGCGAATAATGAAGCCAAGCATTTTACTGGCCTTTTTACATACAGAAATCACATGGTTATGAAAGTCAAGTTTAGCATCTAATAATAATCCTAAGTCACGTATTTCGCTTACCCTTTCTAAGGGCGTGTCAGATAAATTATAGTCTTCATTTAGTGGACAGCGTTTACGCGTGAATGTTATTATTTTACATTTATTATCATTAAAGGGTAGACGATTTAATACGCTCCAATCCAAAACCGCACTGATGTCTCTTTGCAATGCCTCGCAGTCAGACGGGCCATCTACACCAAGGCTTAATTTGAGATCATCCGCGAACAACAGACATTTTGAGGAAACCACGTTATTCGGTAAGTCATTAATGAAAATAAGAAAAAGCAATGGCCCCAACATACTTCCCTGACTTACTCCAGATCTTGTGTAATAGTCACTAGACTCAAATGCACCCACTCTAACAAACTGACGCCGATCACGTAGGTATATTGAAAAAAATTCGACAAGTTTTGGGGCAAAGCCTATCACCGCCAATTTACGTAACAAGATATCATTATCGACCAGGTCAAATGCTTTTTTAAAGTCGAAGTACGCAGTATCTACCTGCCTACCAGCATCCAACTCAGCATATATATAGTCAAGATGAGCCACAAGATTAGAAGTGGTAGAACGGGCTGTTCGAAAACCGTGTTGACTATGATGCAATAAATTCTGAGTTTGTTTATTAATTTGCTGGCATAAGACAATCTTAAATAATTTTGCAAAGACTGATAAGACTGCAATCGGTCTAAAAGACGAAACGTCGTTTTCACCAGCAGTTTTTGGAACCGGAGTGGCCCTAGAAACTTTCCAAATGTCTGGATACTTAGAGTGAGTCAGTGATAAGTTAAAAAGGTACAGGAGCGGACTCTCAAAAGCAGATATGCAGTCCTTTGCTAAAAAAACAGGGATACCGTCAGGGCCCCCCGACGATCTCGGTTTTAGGCGCCTTACTGCTTCTTTCAGCTTGATAATGTCTTGATATTTATGGTGATAGCAGTGGAATCACATTGACTATCTGCGGCACGTACCGCATCAACATGGTTCAGTACAGGTACCTCGTCCTGATACACCGAACTAAAATAGTTTGCAAAAGCGCCGGCTGCGGATTGCCCAACAACTTCAACACCACCGGACGAATAAACGTTCGTACGCTGTCTGTGATTCTTCCTATCCTTAACGTACTCCCAGAATTTGGCTGGATCGTTAATTATATTTTGTTCTGTCAGATGTAAGTGCTGCTTATATGCATTGTCAATCAAGTTTTTAACATGCCACCTATAGCATTTGAATAATTCCTTGTTAAACTCTTTACCTTCAGCCTTATACCGTTTCAAATGATAATATTTTTTACGTATATTATTTTTAATATCAGCATTAAACCATTTTGGATATACGTACTTATAATTCGACATATAACGGGATTTAGTAGGAACATATTGACTGATACAATTATAAAGACGGTGATAGAATAACGCAACTGCGTCGTCAACGTCTGCAATTACAAAAATGTCCGGCCAATCTATACTTATTAATGCCGTGTATAGGCCCAGAAAGTCTGCTTTACGCCAATTCCAGTTTGGAGCAGCTCCCGGGCGCTGAGCCGGTGGTGGAGAGGACGGCGACTGGGTCAGCGCGTCGCACTGAAACCTGAGCGTCACCTCTAGCGGGGGGTGGTACTTATCAATTGGTACTAAGGGTTCTGAACCCTCAGACACTAAGATCTGCACCGAGTTAAAATTGCTCAAGACGAGATCCAACATGCCATCACATTTGTTATACACAATATTATGTTGCTGAAGCCCACTATAGTCACAAAAATAATTAAAATTGGTCTTAACATTAACGCTACAAGAGTTCAAATTAAAATCTCCAATTATTAAGACATTCAGAGAGGAATATGAAATAATAGCATTTTCAATACACGTCAAGACGTTGAGATATAGATTATCACAACATTTAGGAGGCAAATAAACAACGCAACATAAAAACTTTTCAACACTTTTTCCACCAATAATGGCGAAAAGCAGTTCCATATCAGGCGTATAAGTATCTATATTAGTTACTTGTTGCACTGTATAACCGTTTCGTACAGCAAGGAGCACTCCTCCCCACCCGACGTCGCCTGCGCGGTCTTTACGCACTACTAAATACTCCGAAGTAAATAATTCGCCGTCAGATACGGAACTGTTCAAAAAGGTTTCAGTCAAGGCTATAATATCAAAATTACATTGAGTCACATTATTCCTAAAAGTATTCGATTTTGTACGTAGACCTCTAACGTTTTGATAACAAAAATATAGGTTACGCACTTTTATCCTTGGCACGAAAGTTCTGACGCCACGGTTTTATACAGATGTCTTCAGCCCAGTTGCTTGGTGACATAACACTGTCGGCAATTCTGGACGGGACTCCCAGCTTGAACGATGAGTAACGCCCCCTAGGTTTCAGTTCTTCCACTGAGCAATCATTGTTTCCACTAATAGAGTGGAGATGAGCACGCACCTCCTCCACTGTGGTACCCTCTTGGACATAATAGAGATGCAAGTACCTCCACCTCTCAGATGCACGCAGTTTCTTTACTCCCGGCGCTGCCGTGCCGCGAAGAACGCCGGGCAATGATGCGCGTCCAGATTTACGTCTCACCTGTATCCACTCTTCCGGGTCTTTTTGCTCCGCGCCATCCCGGGGTGCAAGAATTGCCTCATGGCTCACACTCAAAACTGAAGTTACGGAATCAGAGACTAAAGTTGAAACTGGCGCTAAAGAAGAGATGGATGCGTTTACTTTTGCAGGTGGATTAGGTTTGCCCGAAGCTCCCTTATTTTTCTGCTGAGGGCCAGATTTTACATTCGGCTTAGTCTTCCCACTATCAACGTTTGAAGGGTGCTGTACCGCCGCTGCATAGCACTGCGTTGATACACTATTATTTTTGTCCATTGTTAGGATTGTTTCTTCTAATTTGTCAATCTTACAGGTTAAATTGCTAATTTTTTCAAATACCGAGGCCTTGAATACATTAAATTGCTCGTTGAGTAGTGCGCATATTTTCATGGTAAGGCGCGATTCGAAGTCGTCCTGCATTTGTTTTATTTCATGTACTAAAGGAACCGTATTTTGGGGGCACGGGTTGCTCTTTACCACTAATTGCGCAGGACGCTTTCCGTTTCGGAATGTGACATTATCCGGGGTATGCATCGATACATCCAAGCAATCCCCTTGTGTGAATGGAAGCGTCTTATGAATGGAGTGCGTTATTGACTTGTATAGTATTTTCTAGTTCTGTGCCAATAAAATTACGCCAGTTTTTGAATAAAAACAAACGTCGATAACATTGTGATAGATAAATAATAAAAAATTCTAACAGTGCTATTATCAATATAAGCATCTGCTGCAACTGTCCTTAATTTTTTTTTGGTACTTATAAAATAGTGGTATATATAGCAATATATAAATTTAAGAGCTAAAAGAGATTGAGATTGAGATGTGAGATTTGTCTAAAATTGCACAACTTGTGGAATCGACTACCACCAGAGATTTTTCCGGACCGATATGACTTAGAGACCTTCAAGAAAAGAGCGTACTCCTTTTTAAAAGGCCGGCAATACAACTAACTGCAATTCCCCCGGTGTTGCAGGTGTTCATGGGCGGCGGTAATCGCTTACCATCAGGTGGGCCGTACGCTCGTTTTCCCCCTCTCCTTTAAAAAAATATAACTAAGAGATTATATATGAAATAATCATCAGAAACAATTTAGGATTTTCGAAAAATC